AGACCCACTAATATAAATGGATATTAACCTGGAAAACAGCACTAACAATTTGGGCAGCACTGGCATTTTTATGTGTTCTGGCACATTGTCTGGTATAATTTTCCAAATGAATAATCTACAGTCATATATTAAAGACCATCACCCAGACTGCTTTTATAAGCTTTGGACAGAAAATATAAACCTACGTTTTCCTTTACACTTATTCAAGAGCATGAGCGCACAAGCTATTGTATCTGTAACACTTAGTATACCCATGTTTAGAAAGGAAATAACTATATAAATGTAAATGGTAATATATGAACTCATAGCACACCCCATTTTATCCCATACCCAATTGACTGCTCAATCCAGTTGTGGCCACATAAAGAGTGAGGGACTATAAAGAGTCAGACTTACCCAGAGGCGTGGAATAGCTTAATAAGGGAAAAAATACAAATCTCATCTCTTCTGATTTAGCAAATACATTTTGTGGATACTTTTTGCTCATTTCCCCGTCATGTCATGTCATGGCCAAAAGCTCTCCAATGTGAAGTCTTCAAATGAAGAAACGAGCTAAGGAGGATTTGGAGAAGGTTCTTTGGCTCAGGTATTTTACTGTCCTCTTGGCAGGTTGTACAAGCTCCATAAGATCGTTCAAGGCCCCTATGTGTGTTTTTTTTTTCTTTTTTAGGTTTGCTGTAGTGTGTTGAGAATGCTAAACCTGTGGTGGAGTAAGAGACTTGTTGCATCTCTGAATGTCTGGAGTTAACTGTTCTGATAAACTTCAAAAATTTAGCTAGCTGAAAGAAGAACAACACAGAGAATAAACATTATCTTTTTATAATATTTGTACGTCCTAGTCCTGATTTTGCTATTGTTTCCTGATATCTTTAGCCAAATGAAATTAATATAAATAAAAGTGTGGAAGGTTTGAATGCTCACTTTTTCTCAACTATTTTTGTTCCTGGTTGTTTGAAGTTATTTCTCTTGAGTAATGTTCAACAGCTATTTAATATGCTTTCAGTGTAGAAGGGGACATATACTCCTTAGTGGAGCAAGGCTTAAATATTATGTGATTGGCACACTAGAAATATGTAGCACAGGCAAAACTATGAATAGAAACAAGGATGTAAATGATATTATGTAAATAAGAGGAAATGACTGATCTTTGAACTCTGCATATGTAGTATTCTGCACATGACAAATGTTTGGTTTTCTTTTCCTGTGGTTCTCTAGACCCAGGTATGCACTATTTCTTGGCTTTATTTGAAAAATGTTCTTTCCACTTGAGTAGGCCATCCATCACAAAGCAGGCAGCTGAGAGTTAAATGAAGATGTGAGAACATAATGGGGAAAAAGGATTTGAAATTGGTGCTCATTTCCAGAGAACATACTTCAAAATGTATGTGGAGAAGGAAGAAATATTACATTTCTGTGATGCACTGTTTTGAGAGAGGCATTTTGAGGTAGAGCAAATTCAACGAAGCTGCTTGTGTGATCATGCCAAAATTGAGAAAAGAGAGCTAAAAGAGGCAGATATAAAATATGATTGTGGAATCCTTTTTAGGATGACAGAAGCATGTTTAAACTCTGTTGTGGAACTCAGCTGTATATAACTTCCTGAAGAATTTACCAAGTTTAGCGAAAACATGAGTTGCATAAGTCAGAGCTTTAATAAAACCATATTAAGCCTAGTTATAAGCTTAACACTGAATCGTATTTCATTCTGTAATAGTGAGGAGTTTGGTACTGAGACTTAATATGCAGCTAAACATGATATAGAGCACCGATCTTATAGAGCAGCTCATTTTAATAAGAACAGATACGATCAAAAGTGTTTGAATGTGAACTGTTGCTAAGAAGCTTTTAGGAAGAAGCAAAGATGTTTTAAGTATTCACCATCTCATTTCTTGATAAATAAAAAAAATCCCATCTTGGGCTTTAGTGTTTTCCACCATACTTTCTAATTCTGTACTGAGTTTAGCAAAATGAAACTTATTCCTATAATATCTTTCTAGAGCTCATTGAAATCAGAATCTTGATCTCAGCATATGGAAGTCTGGCATAGTACTGGTGTGCTGTGTGATAACAAGATTTTGTTTTGGATATCAATATAAAAACTTCTGATTAATGAATGTTTCAGCTCCCAGTTCTGAGTTTTTTTATTTTCATCTTATGCCAGCTTTATCGGGTGAAGGCTAACACACAATTCAGAAGAATAATTATTTTCTGAAAATTCTATATACGGAATTTATTTTCCTAATTATGTATTTATCATTTTTCTTTGAAGAGATGTTCAATAATTTGCAAGTTGGAGAATTTCTACTCACTTACTATAAAACATTTTAATGAGGTTTGTGGATTTTGAAACTCAAAAGTATGCCATTTTAAAGGAACACTTCCAAATTCAGTGAGAGGCTTTTCTTTTGCAAATGACATTTTGCATTAGTAGACTAAAATAGTATTTTACGTGCTTTCCATAGTATTTTGAATTTCATCAGTCGTCTTAGGCAGTTACATTGTGAAAGTCATTAAGAGAATAAAATACAGATGCACTTAAAAGGAAGGGTTTTCCCCTCCCAAAAACGCTCCTACCCTGAAACTTCCTTAAGCTCCTCCAAGAAGCTGTGCAGATGTCAAGGTTTGAAAAACTGCAGAGAGCTGTTTTTTTTTTTTTCCTTGAGAAATTATCTGTTATGGGAGATAATATCCACAAAAATTAAACTTCAAAGCAGACCTTTTAAAATAGGAAACTGTTCTATAGTTGAAAGGAAATTTTCATAATTTGTATTCATAATTTGTTTTGGGGAACAAAGGAGAATATACCTGAAATAAGAGAATTGTGTTCATTTCAGTTTTAATGGATTTTCCTTCTTCCTTTGGCTTCTTTTTTCTTTTTTCCATCCATCTCCTGTATCTGGCAATTACCAACTACAGATCAGCTGGACTTAGATTTGTAGAATTAATATTTCTTCAATAGCAATTATTTTAAAAAAGAGAAAAAATAAAAAGAGTAAAGAGCAGAGTTTATTATGGGTCCTGTGTGGATGAAAACTTTTCTCACTCAGGAGACAATGTTTACTATGATGACATCTTTCTTTGAGAAAACATGTTGCATTTTACCAGTTTGAATGACTGAGTTCAGAGAGCACCAACAGGGTAAATGATGAAAGGTGAAGTGATGAGAGTAAGATAAGTCTAGATAAATATATGAAATGTAATGTAATACTCATTTCTTTCTTCTTCAAAGAGGTCAATGATCTCTGGTCTCAGTAGCTGGTAAGGAAATACTGAAATTCAGACCAGGGAGCAGACTTTTCTTAACCTAAAGGTAGACTGTAAAATTCACTAGAATTTTTGGTAAGACCTTATAGCAAGTTGTCTTGTAAGCTAAATACCAAGGTAGTATGCATTACAAATCAGATGAATGCAGTTAGTGTTACGTGGTTATAATTAATCTTTTTTGTAGTGATGTGGCATTATCTCTGTGGCATATGAAATGGGGTGCCTCAGTTTGTTCATGAAGATCAAGTTCAGCTCTGGCATCGCTCCATTGTACATCCTGATTCCTGGGTTTGTGCCTGGAAGGAATTTATGAAGTAAAAGTACTATCTATCATTTTGTGCGTGTTTATAGGCAAAGGGCAAGGATAAATGTTAAACTAATTACCTTAGTAAATATGTTATGTTTTCATGCCAGAAGGATTTTCAAAGCGTAGCACTGTAGCGTGCCATAAACTTCAGATAGCTGTGACAAAAGGTGCAGAGTCTCATACTGAATACTATCACTTTTCTATATAGATATCAAAACCTCATTTTTAAAGTTAGTTGTGGATGTCAGTGAAACTTAAGCATAATATCTTGCTTATCTGTTTACCATTGCACCAATCTTTATAGGCGGAGGATTTGGTGCATGCCTCCCAAGTGCCAGTGTTGCTTCCAAAATCATTTAAATACTCCTATGCTCAGCTGTAGCAGAGCCCAGGAACTGGGCTGGGTTGCCTTTGTAAAGCCTCAGCAGCCTGCCTGGCTTTGTTTCAAGCTTGAATGATAAGCAGAAAAGCACTTTTAAAGAAAAAAAAAAAAAGTGCTTACTGCCTCAGGCATAGCTTTTGTCTTCCCACAGGAGGGGAAAGATGTTGTATAGTGTAAGAAATAAATGCAATGAGTGTTAAACTGTCTTTTGCTTTATGATGCTTTGTTTTGGTTTTAAAAAATGCATATACAATAAATATGGAAAGAAGCCTGTGAGGCAGAAAAAAACAAAACATTGAAGACCTCTCTAATGCGTGTATCTGCCTTTGGAGAAATTAAAAATGTTAATCTCTCTATGGAAGGGCATAAATATCTGTTTTGCTTGACATGCAATTTGTGCATATGAATAAAAACTTGCTTTTGATATCAAAGTAAGGAGTTTCATTCAGAAAGTAAATGGTTTCTTTATGTATAAAGAGATTTAAAGTGGTGGTAAAGTTTTTCTGAGCATAACGTGAACTGCTTGTTGAACAAGCCCTAGTCTCCCTTCATTTGCCCCAGTCCCCTGCTCCTCCCCCCACCCCCAAAAGCTGTCCTGAAATCACCAGAGTAGGATAATTCTTAGAGTGGTTTGGAGAGCTTTTAAACAGATTTGTTGTCTTTATCCAGTTTATGAATTGTGCTGCTTAGTGTTCAAATCATATGTTATCCTGAAAAGATTTTCAGGCTATTACAGTGGCATCATGTAATTACAGTGAAGCACATGATGATAGCATTTAAGCCTTAGGATGCCTTGCAGTAAACTAGTGCAAATAATTATCTGTGCATCAATTCAGATTTGAAAAAAAAAAAAAAAAAAGAAAAAGAGCAAAATCGATGCCGCTCAGTGGCTGAGTTTTCCATATTCCAATTAATGATTTTAGATTTGCCTTAAAGTTCTAAAATTGTTGGGAAGTAGGCCATCTCATGCCGATCTGAAGCGTCAGGCCATTTTAAATTAAAGACCGAGCATGCTCATATCGAGTACCCACTCTTAGATATTGCTGTGTGTGTCTCAGCTCTCGGTTAGCAGAGCTGTCACTGAAGTAGAGGAGAGCACAGCATGCCCTTTTGTCGTCATTCGATCCGTGAGCGTACGATTTATCCTGGAACGGGGGACCTGAGATGTGAGATATAAGCCTTGCTGTTAGAACGCCAGTGGTTTTGGTGAGTTAACGTTCATCTCTTCCCTTTTTAATGCCTTTAGATGTCTCAGATAAAACTCGGCTTCATACTTTTCTCCAAATAATGGTGTCTATTTGAAATGTCTCTGCTGTTGTTCTCTTAAAGCCTTGCTTCAGGAAAAAAATTCTGGTGTGTATGTATTAGATCATTTCTTTCCTGAAAGGGAATTGCTTTTTTAACAAGAGTGCTAGGCTGTTATTTAGCTCAAAAAGCCCATATAAAAATGGGCATATATATATTCTAATCAGAAATTAACTGACTGTTCTGACTACAACAACTGATCATGTTAAAGAGCAGTGATTTTTGTCTCTTTATATTCTAAGTTAGTTTAAATCTAGATTATCTGTTTTGTGTATCTAGCATTTTAGAGGGAGTTAGAGTAGTGTTGCAGAAGAGATTTTTATTTACATAAGACAATGCAGAAAAATGTTTACTGTACTTGGTTTCAATGCAAATTTCTAATGAAAAAAAAGTTAATTGCTGTCATCTGTTCAGTCTCGATGGAGGTGCATGTATTTCTTTTCTTTTTTTAACCAGCTAAGAAATAGAAAATGACACCTTAGGGTTGTTATGACATAATTTTCACAGAATCTTTGGTAGCATATAATAGGAATTTCTGAACAATTTTATAGCATTGATACTAGCTGATATGTATAGCTGGTATAGCTCAACATTCAATTAAGTTTTAAGTGACTATATGATGGCTATATTTATAATTAAAAGTATTATCAAAGTTTAATTTCTTGCATTTTTTTAAAAAAGCTTTCTTTCCTCTAAGAGCATCTGCAAAAGAATACTTTTAAATTCTCTAAAGTATATGCATTTAACCTGTAGAAAAAAGTCTATCAGTAACATAATTTTAAAATATGTGGTAAACTCCTCCTCCCTCCTGTCCTCCCCAAAATGTTGGTTCCTAATCATACTTTCCCCTCAGTGAATAAAGATGATGTAAGATCAAATGTTTAACTGGACTTTTATGTGTTTTGAGGATTCAATTGTGACATAGTAGAACTACTTCCTAAAATACTAGTCATCACTGGATTGAGATTGGAGATGTTAATTTTAAAATTTCACCTATTTATATCTAGATAGATAATATAAATCTCTTTTTTCCAGGTAAATACGCTTTATTCTGCAGTGGTTTTATATATATATATATTATACATAGACACACACACACACACATACACACACACACAAATATACATATGCATATACATACACACACATATATGTATACACACACATACAGACACACACACATACATACATATATATATATAGTGTTCTAGATCAGAGTAGAAATGCAATGGGAAAAAAACAATGTCAGTAAACTCCTTGAGCCTAACAAAGATTCTTGCTAAGCATAACCCCTGTTATGATTCTGACTGACTTGATTCATAGGGGAAAAAGCAGTAAACTTCCGAGTTTTATTAGCTTTGCAGCCTTCCTGACCCTCCCTGCTGGAAGGGAGACAGGACTGCGATTAGCGTGTGTCATTCTTGAGCTGGTGAAGAACAGCTTGCTTGGCCTTCTGATAGACCTCTCAACGAAATCATCTAAACTGATATAACAGTAAAGATTTTTGAAGTAAAGCGTGAGAATAATAAACTTATTTGAAGTTTTGCTGTGCAAAGGGTTCTCAGAACACATCAGGAAACCTGCACTTTAACTGCGAAAGCAAGACTGTAGAATGCAGTTATCCGGCAGATGATAAGAGAGAAAGACAACAAGGGTAACCTGTGTTGTGCAACGGGTATTGCTATGCTGACTTTTTTACTCCAAAGCATTTAATATGTTTGTAATAGGTTTTTGCTCTTTTAAATGTGCTGTTTCGTAATGGTGACACCTTCAGGTGCCATTAGCTGTGAGCTTGCAATTTTGGAAAACATGAAGAAGCCCAACGGATTTGTTATAGGAGCGTTTCCAGCTGAATAGCAAGCTTGGAAAACCTGTTAAGACATCTTGTAGGAAGGGACCAATCAGATGAGAAAGTCAGAGATGCGGATCCGTGGCTGAGGAGCAAGCAGGGGGAATGGCAATGTGAGAGAAACGGAGTTATAAAAGGTAAGCACACGCAATGAAAGGAGCACTCGGCTGTTTTGGCAGTGTTCGGTCACCACTGCAAGCACATCAGTGTGGGATTTCTGGTGTGAGTCACTGAAGATGTTGGAACTCTCGTGTGATTCTGCTGAGATTCCATCACTTTGAAATAGCACGTATAAAACATCCTGTTTCATAGATAGGAAGGGAACAGCATTAGTCTCACAGAGTAGACAGAAATTTGTAAGTGTTAAACATTTCAAGTTACTTCTTTTTATTACCTTAATCCTGTTTTACTCTTCAGAATGATATCTGTCCTTTCCTTGAAATAAGTGCTGATTTTGGTAAGCTTTCCAAAAAGAGGAATTCTTAAATCCTAGTTATAAAGGTTAACTGAAGTTTTACCGGCAGACCTGCTCTCATCTATACGCGTTTTTCTTAGCTCATAAGTCTACTTTTGGTTGTATGTGTAGCATTCAAAGAAAAAAAAGCCTTCTGTTTGTGATCTTAGCTAACGGCCATTGTGCGTTAATAGGTGAACCTGAGGCCACAGAAAGCCTGACACCCATATTTCACCTTTTACTTTACTATAACTTTGAGTGTTTTGTTAAGTTTCTTATGTGTATACTTGTGTGCATATATATACACAAATATACACATCTATTATTACAGTAGTATATTAGGTGTATGTGATTATATAAAAAATGTGAGAGAAACGGCTGCTGGTCATAAACGTTTACTTGGAAAGCACTTTAATTGCTCTGAATTGGAAAGTAAAATGACACACGGTAGTCAGTTTTGTTCGGTTTCAAAGAACGTTATTCAGTCATTTTACGTGACAGTCATTAACAGGATTACTTTTATAGATCATTGTATTGTAATTTGCAATGAAATACCGGAGTATAAACTTTTAAGTTCTTATGACTCTGCTAGGTAGACCTACCTTTAAGATTTTCAGAAACTGTAGTTTTTTGGAAGCATCTGCACTGTGCTCAGTCATGTGACTAGCAATTTAAAGTATGTAATTCGCCTTGTTTAGGATTTGTTGAAGAGGATGAAAAAATTGATTCACTTTTCCAAGTGAATAAAAGGTGTCTGACTTGTTTGGTGCTTTTTCATTAGGAGAATAGTATACTTGTAAGAATGCTGTACTATTGCAGTGGTTTTAGTCATTTTGGGTGTTTTTTAGTTGCACAGCCACCAAATTTGTGGAAAGCATTTCATTTACAAGAACATCTAGAGTATGCGCCACTGCGGAAATAATGTTTAAATACACTTTGTGCTACTTTAATCTTTTTTAATAAAGATATTTCTACAAAGTTAGAAAAAAAAATAGGGAAGAGATGTGGAGGCTGGAGAAGTGAAGAGGAACTTCTTGTATGGACATCACTTAAATTCCCTGCCAGCTATTTTTTGAATGATTAAAATATTTTGGGCAGTGAAGGCTCAATCTTCTTCCATTCAGGTTTAATGGAAAGATTTTACTATTACTGACACTCTCAATTCATGGGACAGATGGAGAGCTGTGACAATTTTAAAACTGGAGGTTTTGTCTAAAAACCTGGTTGGCATTCTGCATCCAGTTTTCTTGACCCATTTCAGATAGCGTGCTACAATCTGATACTTACAAATGAGGAATGCTGTTTTCCAGTAACTCTCTTTATGGAGTGGAGAAAGGAGTAAGAGCTATGTTTCACAAGTATGAGCTAAATTTCCTTTTCCAAATGGAAAAGGAACTGCACAACAGTACTCATTTAAATTAATTAGCTCTAAAGACAGGATTGGCTTGAGATTTTGTGTAAGTATTTATGGTAAAATAAAGAAGACGGTATAAATTCTTTCTGTATGTGCATAATATAAGTTGTGAAATAAGTTTTATTAAAATGAAAACATAACGTTACAGGTTCCCCACAAGTTACTTGTTTTCATTTTATAATGAATTGCCTTATTTTATTTATTTATTTATTTTTAATCTTCTCAGCTCTTAGTTTATGCTAAGAGAGCGGAACCAGTAAGTGGTGGACTAAATGCCAGCTGAAAAAGCTGAAAATCATCTCTACTTTTTCAGTACATTAAGGTTTACAACGGATATTAGATAGTTCTGTAAATTCTGGCAGACTTTAGCTGTGAGTTTATTAGATCAGTGCAATTCAATAATGAATATTTATTTGGGAATATGTAACAATAAACCTGTTGAAAATTATTTTTGTATAAAATGAGCATTGGGAATTTTATGCTTCCCAAAAGAGGACCAAGAGTAAACCATTCCCCTTTGTAGGTCGGAAGCTCATCATCTAGCAGCCAAAGAAGGGGACAGAGAAGAGAAAAGAGCAAGGGGGAAGGTATGGGAATGTTTCTCAAAACTGTATGTAAATTTTTAGGGTTTTTCCCCATGTGTTTTGTGCATGATGCAGCACAGGTAATCCAAACATCTGTCACCTTATATAATGTCTTCAGCTAAATATATATAGGACTTCCCCCCTTCCCCCCACACACTGCCCTATGTATTTTTTTTATTAGAGAATCTGGAATATCATCTTCTGCTCCAAAGAACATCAACATTTGAAATATCATTAGGCAATTCAGTCTAATGTACTTTTCAGTTCTGTGATAGGGAGGCAATGGCTTAATATATAAACATTTCAGTGGCTTTGAGAAAACTAGAATAGTGTTGTGGGATCTTGAAACTAATTGGAATTTAATGGAGTCATGTATCATACAGCAACGTATTTGTTTTTAAGCTGATGGCAAACTGGTGGTCTCCCAAAGCTATCTACTATCACAGGGCTTGAATGTAATTCATGTTGTTTCTTTTTTTCTTTTTTTTTTTTTTTAAATCTAAAAATCTTAAACCAAAGAGAGCTTCCTAGTTATAGGGAAGTGATTAATTCAACTTTAGTATTTAAAGTTGTTCCACACATCTGTGTAGCTATAGTTAT